GATTTTTTTCATTCAACCTTTATTCATACACGTTAGTCCCATTGAGCCTCGGAGACTCAGAGAGACCTGATTTAACAGAGTGATGACAATGGACAATAATAAAGGACAAATTGAGAAGAACAAGTGAAATAAAATGGTGTTTAAAAGAAAATGTAACAAAAACACAGCTAGGATGTAAAGTGATGTAAATTAAAAACAGGAACATCTGCAGGAACTTATCAGATGTTTGAAGCCACTTAGAGAGGTCAAAGGTCGAGAGCTTCAGATGTTTTTACAAGATATTCCAGGAAACAGGAGCGGAGTAGGAGAAGGTCCTTTTGCCTAGTTCAGTCCTCACTGAGGGGACACTGCAGGTAATGATGTCCTGAGAGCGCACGCTGTAGCTGCACTCACACAGAGACATGTAGGAGGAGATGTATGAAGGCAGCAGACCAGGAAGTGATTTAAAGATTAACACGTACCAGTGGGAGAGTCTGTGTGAAGTTAATGGTGACCAGTTAACCAGTGAATACTGGGTGCAGTGGTGGGTACGGTAGTTACAGCCAGTTATGATTCTTAGTGCACCATGATAGACAGCATCCAACATCTGCAGCATCCAATATCTGCAGCATCCAACATCTGCAGCATCCAACATCTGCAGCATCCAACATCTGCAGCATCCAATATCTGCAGCATCCAACATCTGCAGGGTTCTTGTAGGAGCGTTCATGTAAATAATGTCACCGTAATCACTGGAGGGAAGGAAAGTCACAGATACAAGGTGTTCCTCAGGGTTCAGGGTTAGACAGGATCTGTTTCTGAAAAAGAAACCCAATTTAACTTTCAGTTTCTTTATCAAGTTTTCCACGTGGAGCTTAAAAGAGAGATGTGAGTCGACCAAGATACCCAAATATTTATAGGAATCAATAAACTCAATGGGGACATGATTTGAGGATAAAATCAGAGGAAGAACTGCTGGGACCGACTTCCTGTTTGAAAAAAGCATCCCTTTGGTTTTGTCGGCATTTAGGACAAGTTTCTGACTGGATGATGTCAGATTTTAAAAGCTGGAAAACCTTATCAACTGTTTTAGCTCGACAATAAACAACTGTATCATCAGCATAGAAATGTATGGATGCGTCATGGATGCTCTGACCTACATTACCTATGAGAAAAGGGTGGGTCCTAAGACTGAGCCTTGTGGTACACCATTGCTGACTGTTAAATAACTGGAGGAAGTAAAATGAGGAAAGCTTCACGGATTTGAGCGCTTCACCACTGTGGCTAAAAGCACAGCCTACTACTATATGCTTTTACTGTACTATCACTTTTGTACAATAATGATGTTATAACGTAATCGTGTTCAGAATTAAATTTTTTTCCATGCAACATACTTCCGTAAAAGTAAATTTTAAAAAAGAACTGTAATGTGGAGGTTTTATTTTAAAAAAACAAAAGACCCTTAAACAGTTAAAAGTTTTAAAAAGTAATTTAAGGTTTACATTTTCATTTCATTCCGAGATAACTCTAAATTACTGACTAGATTTTTGTGGAAATTATTTTTTTTAATTGTTTTTTTTTAAAGCTGTTAAAGAAGGCGGTTGATTTGTTTCCCCTATGGAAGGTTCATATGTCACCGCCCCTCCGGTGAGCTCAGAAGGATGCACCGAGCGTCCACCGCGGAAACAAACCGTCCTGAAACTTCCGCGTGTTCCACTTCTCTCTGATTTCGTCCCGACAACTTTAAAAGTCGGTTTGTGTGAAAGATTCAGACATGAGGAGGTGACGGAGGAGGAGGAGGAGGAGCAGACAGACAGAGGAGGACGAAGAGGAGTCATTTCAAACCCTCAAGGTAAAATCAACTGATGTTTAAAGAGATTCGGTTTCAAACCGACAACTTCCGGTGGTTGAAACTCTGTTGGACTTTGTGTGGAAACAGTCGAACCGAACCGAACCCGCCCAGTCCATAACACAGAAACCACTGGTTTTAATGGTGGCTTTGTTTTTATGTTGCACTAATATTCATCTGTTTTATGTCCGGCTAACTTTATATTTAATATTTTTATTGCTTCAAACTAAAGACTGCCGTGTTTAAAAAGTGTTTAAAGGTTTTAAACTTTGAAAATTAAACTTTAAAAACCTGAAATAAAAAAAATAAAAAACTGCAAGAAAGTCTTAATGCTTTGAAGGTGAATATTACAAAATAAAAGCAGGATCAGGACTTTTGCACAGAACTTTATCAATAATAATGCCTGTTTATAAATAATTAGTTTTTATTAAATTATTTTGTGTTTTTGTGCACCTTTAAATAAAGTAAAACATTAATTGAAGGACTCAGACTGCAGGGTTTCAAAATAAAGCTAACACAGAGACCTTCAAAGTAAATGTCTTTTGTTTAAATCTTTAAAAATAAAGTTTTAAAAGTCCGACCCTTGAATCGTGTGTTGAGGATGACTGTCAGCTACCACCACCACCTGAATCCTAATACATGTGAAACTGACTGGGAGCTTTTAAAATGTTGACAAACTGCTGGTTTCATTGAAATCCATGAGATATTTTGCTAACAGGCTGAAGCCACGACATCACTGCGGCCCTCTGACGGCGCAGGGCCATAAAATAACGTGAATAAACCAAAATAAGGCACAAATTATTTAGATTTATTGTCATTTTAACTTTCATAAATTCACCTCTGAAAGTTTTTAAAACATTAAAAAGTTTAAAAAAAGTTTTAAATTAAAATAGTTTGACTCAGTTTTTATATTGAAATAAAACCTGTGGACACGAAGCAGCTTCTGTGAGGAACTCACGTCTTCCTCAACACGTGACCAGAAGATCAAAGAGCCAGGAAGGACCCGCAAAGGTCAAAGGTCACCGCAGGTCCTGATTTACGATGTTTGAGCTCATGAGAAGCCGAATAAATCAACGTCTTCTGAGCGGCTGCTGAGGTTTGTAGAAGAAGCTGAAGGGAGCAAAAACTACAACCAGCAAAACAGCAGCTAAAAGCTAAAACTAGCAAAGCTTTAGCTAATAGTTAAAATTTGTTAACCGTAGCTAAAAATTCATACTGGTATCAAAGTAGCTACACACTAAAACTAGTTAGGAAAAGGCTAAATTTATGAGAACAGTAGCTAAAACTAGCAAATCCACATTCAACAAAATAGTAGCAACAAGCTGACATTAGCAAAACAGTAGCTAAAACCTAAAACTAGCTAAACAAAAGCTAAATGCTATAATCAACCAAACAGCTAGTAAAAGAACCATTTATAAGAACAAAACCTTAGAGCTAAAAGTATCAGAATAGTAGCTAAATGCTAACAAATGAAGCATGCTGAGGTAAATTTCCATGAGCTCCAAGTTTTTGAAGAATCTAAATTCTGTGAGGACAATTTGTTGATGAATCTAAATAATTCAAAAAGTATAAAAACTACAAAAACCACAAGTCTTAGCCGAAATACTCCAAATGAGCCGAAAGTTTTGATGCATGAAACGCTTAAATAGCTGAAAGTTAAAAACTATGAAGGACGAAATGTCAACATTCACAGAATAAAGACGGGTTTGTGTCTCAGCTGGTTTGTGTCTCAGCTGGTTTGTCTCTCAGCTGGTTTGTCCCTCGGCTGGTTTGTCCCTCGGCTGGTTTGTGTCTCGGCTGGTTTGTCTCTCAGCTGGTTTGTCCCTCGGCTGGTTTGTCTCTCGGCTGGTTTGTGTCTCGGCTGGTTTGTGTCTCGGCTGGTTTCAGCTGCAGGTTGTTTTAAACTCAGTTTGAATGAATCGAGCCATCGGCTCTTTATTAATTTTAATTTATTAGATTATTAGTTTTTAATTTATTAGATTGTTAGTTTTTAATTTATTAGATTATTAATTTTAATGTATTAGATTATTAGTTTTTAACCTGCAGGTGGCGCTGTGGGACAACAGGAGGAGTTAAAAGGAGTTAAACACCTCTCGGCTGTTTGAAACAATATTTAGCTCGTGTTTATGTAAACAAACTTTAACTTTTCCATGTTTTTGTTTTCCAGGCGGAGAATAAACTGATGGAGCAGCAGAAAGAGGACGGCGTGTCTTCGTCCAACAGGACAGAGGAGGACAGTCCTACGGTGAGACGACACAGTCGATCAGCTGCGGCGGCCATCTTGAATTGGGTTAACTCCAAAAACTAATCTGGACGTCTGTTCAGTGACGACTTCCTGCGAGTTGCAGCCGTGGTTCAGCAGATATTTTGCTAACAGACGCAGTGAAACCATCATCGCTCCGTGGTGTTTTGCTGCAGGTGATAAATAAAGTTTTTAGGTAAATAAGAAATAAAATCTGAGAATAAAAACGAGGAGCGAGCTCCGTTGTGTTTGGGAGAGGTGGGATTACTGGTCGGGTTCTGGTTGGTTCCAGAACCACCAACAGAACCCAGTTAAAGAGCTCACCACAGAGAAGGGTTTGACCTTCAGAAAGGTCAAACAGACACTTTGATGCTCGTTCTGCGTCTTTCTGACGCAACCCGCTTGGGTGGCCCCCTCCGACCCGGGTGGGTCCGAGTCCACAGGTGTGTTCTTGTGGTTCTGCGGTCCTCGGGTCCAGCAGAACTTCTGCTTCTGGAGGGAAGAGATGCTCAGTGTCAAGCCTGGACCATAAACGTGTCGCTCACTTCCTGTCTTCAGTGAACCTCTGACCTTTGACCTCTTCACCAACAGAACCCATGGTTACCATAGCAACCCCACCCTGTTGTCCAGGTTCTGCCGGGCTGCTCCGGTTTCCTCCCGTCACTGTGATTCCTCATCTTTGGTGGGCTCGTGATGCGTTCAAGGGCAGGAGGAACTCTGAGTTTCCAGCCCGCAGCTCCTTGTTGGAGCTGAACTGCTGCTTCCTGTTCGTGTTCAGTCGGAGCAGGAAACGGATCAGAACCACCTGAACAGATCAGCAGCAGGTCCGGGTGCCTGGAGGGACCAGGACCCGGCTGTCGGTCACGCTAACGACCCGCGTCAAACTTCGGCTGCGTCGGGCGTCTCGCCCTCAGGTTCTGGTCTCGGCTCGGTTGTTTCCGGGACTCGGAGCGCGGGAGAACATTTAACGAGTCACGACGTTTCTCTTTACAGGAAACAAACGTCGAGCGCAGCGACGTCCACGGGAACGCTGAGGCCGCGCCGCCGGTCGCCATGGAAACGGACCCGAGCCAAGGTGACGCTCGAACACACCTGGTTAATCTGATGAAACCAAATTAACAGATTAAATACAAGATTAAATACTGATTAAATGCAGATTATATATGGATTATATACAGATTAAATACGGATTACATACAGATTAAATACAGATTATATACGGATTATATACAGATTAAATACAAGAATAAAAACAGATTACATACAGAATTAATACAAGAATAAATACAGATTACATACAGATTATATACAGATTAAACACAGATTAAATATAGATTACATACAGATTAAATACAGATTAAATACAGATTATATACAGATTAAATACAAGAATAAATACAGATTAAATACAGATTACACACAGATTAAATACAGATTACATACAGATTATATACAGATTAAATACAGATTATATACGGATTATATACAGATTAAATACAAGAATAAATACAGATTACATACAGAATTAATACAAGAATAAATACAGATTAAACACAGATTAAATATAGATTACATACAGATTAAATACAAGAATAAATACAGATTACATACAGATTACATACAGATTACATACAGATTACATACAGATTACATACAGATTACATACAGATTACATACAGATTAAATACAGATTAAATACAGATCACATACAGATTAAATACAAGAATAAATACAGATTAAATACAGATTAAATACATGAATTAATACAGATTAAATCCAGATTACATACAGATTATATACAGATTAAATACAGATCACATACAGATTAAGTACAGGTTTGAATGTTCATGTTTTGAATAAACTTTATTCACCTGGTTGTTAAAGGGATAGTTCAACTGTTTTTAAGCGGGTCTTTGTGTGAGGTTATTTATAGTCAGTATGTTACCTGTTGGAGGTGGCTTCTTGATCCTCCTCAGTTTGGAGAACCGGTTCACGTCTGACAGGAGTGACGAGCTAACGGCTAGTCGGAGCGAGATCAGAGTGAATTCTTGTCGTCTTAAAACGGCTTTGACTTAAAGTGTTTATGTTTATTCAAATCTTTTTTTTATAAACCTTGATGTCCTGGTAATTCCACTTCACATGGTTCTGGACTTCTGTGGTTCTGGTGCGGTCCGGGATCACATCCGTCAGGAGCTTCTGAACATTCATGTAAAATCACAAATTAAAAATGGCGGTGGTGTGACTAGCAGAGCGATTGTGTTGAAATTTGATTAAACGTGAACTTGGATTTAGGACCGTGGTCTACTTTGGACCAGCTCCTCATTAACCATCTGCAGCAGGTAAGATAGTAACGGTTCATAACTTTTGCACAGAAACGCACTTCAAAATGGCTGAACTGTCACTCAAGGTGCTTCACTGTAAGTTTTGATCAGTTCAATCCGAGTTTAAATTAATCAATTTCACTCTTAAAATGTTGACCTTTGACCTCCAGAGCCCACGGTGACACCGCAGAAACCAAGAAGTGGACCGCACGTTGTCGAAGGCAGCGCCAAGAACCCGGCCAGCGAGAAGCTCGAGAGGGTCCGCAAGTGGAGCGTCAGCAAATATAAGGTGGGCGGAGCCTAACTGACCTGTTTACTGATAGCAGATAATCAGTGGGCGGGGCCTAACTGACCTGTTTATTGATAGCAGATAATCAGTGGGCGGAGCCTAACTGACCTGTTTATTGATAGAAGATAATCAGTGGGTGGAGCCTAACTGACCTGTTTATTATAGTAGATAATTAGTGGGCAGAGCCTAACTGACCTGTTTATTGATGATCAATGAACAGGTAAGCAAATATCATGTGGGCGGAGCCTAACTGACTCGTTTATTAGTAACAGGTAATCAGTGAACAGATCGGCAAATATAATGTGGGCGGAGCCTAACTGACCTGTTTATTGATGATCAATGACAGGTAAGCAAATATAATTTGGGCGGAGCCTAACTGACTTGTTTATTAGTAACAGGTAATCAGTGAACGGGTCAGCAAATATCATGTGGGCGGAGCCTAACTGACCTGTTTATTGATGATCAGTGAACAGGTCAGTAAATATCATGTGGGCGGAGCCTAACTGAC